TATATATATATACTATATATATTATTATATATATATATATATATATATATATATATATATATATATATTATTATATATATATATACTATTATTATATATATATATATATATATATACATCATTATGAATTTAGTGCCACATCTGAGCGAGTAAGTGTGATATCGTAGAAACTGGCTGTTGTCTCACTGAAAGGCGTGAGTCAATGACGCAGAGAAGAGCATCTAGCACACTACACCTTATAAAATAAGTAACACTCCCCAGGCATGTTACCTAGGCACCCAAAACATGGAACAGACTATAAAAGTGCAAAGACAATCACGGCCGTACAGAAAAATCAATCGATAATACCTCACCATTATCGTGCCCCCCACGAAGCTACTATTTTTAGGATAGCGCCCGTTGTTGATCAGGGCAAGCATCGCTCAGCCAAATGTTTTGTTGCATATATATAGGTAATGCAGTGTATATCCATCCTATGTCAACGCCTACGCTTTTACTTGTCATCGAAATCACGTATATGCGTACTACACTCCACGCATATTCCATGTTAACGCCACACCCATATCTGTATACATATCCAATGTATATCCTGTCCCCTCCGTTTTCTCACACACGTGCACTTATAGAGCCGGTCGTGGCCGAGGCGGCAGTTGAGATTGACGAGGAGAAGGTTGCCGCGTGCGAGAAGGAACTGTCGACACTGACGGAGAAGCGGGTGTCGTTGCTGCAGGGTGTCCAGACACAGATCAACCCTATGCTCAAGGTAAGTGCTTTACACAGATCTATACTCAAGGAAAGTGCTTTAAACAGATCTATACTCAAGGCAAGTGCTTTACACAGATCTATGCTCAAGGTAAGTGCTTTACACAGATCAACTCTATGCTCACGGGAAGTGCCTTTACGACGCTCCTATGTGGGTGTATACGGCTTTACGTTGGGTGTGTGCACTTAGCTATGTGGGGTGGTCAGCTGCAGCGAGTTTGGGTGGCGTTTGGTTCACTTTGAAGTATGGCCCTGAAGACACGCGCGTGAGGCACGCGCTCTTTGTGTGATCGTTTGATAGGATGGCGTACGCGGTGTTCGTTGGTACTAACAGTTACGGTAGTTGTACCGAGGGTGCATCGCATTTGAATACCTTCAGCCAGAATACAACGGAAAAGCACATACGTGTGGGATGTTTTTTTTTAAGAGAGGTTGGGGATCATGTATATGGTGACTAGTTCTTTACCTTGTATTGTATTCTGCATAGAAAAGTGAGACAGTATTTTAAAATCATGTATATGGTGACTATTTCCTCACCTTGTATTGTATTCTGCATAGAACAGTGAGGCAGTATTTTAAAATCATGTATACGGTGACTATTTCTTTACCTTGTATTGTATTCTGCATAGAATAGTGAGGCAGTATTTCAAAATCATGTAGACGGTGACTAGTTCTCTACCTTGTATTGTATTCTACATAGAATAGTGAGGCAGTATTTTAAGATCATGTATACGGTGACTAGTTCTCTACCTTGTATTGTATTCTACATAGAATAGTGAGGCAGTATTTTAAAATCATGTATACGGTGACTAGTTCTCTACCTTGTATTGTATTCTACATAGAATAGTGAGGCAGTATTTTAAAATCATGTATACGGTGACTAATTCTACCTTGTATTGTATTCTACATAGAATAGTGAGGCAGTATTTTAAAGTACACACAGAACCCGCTTTTCCGCCGATAGGTGTGTTCATGCATAAATAATAGTAAAACAGGTCAAACAGCTTCCGCCTTTCCACCTTTAGGTGCGTTCATACGGGGCCTTACACTAATCATTGAGCACCCTTCGCCCTTGTGCAAGATATTGTTTATATAAAACAGCACATACTCTCCTCAATCGGGTATTCCCCCAACATTCCGTAAATTCTGTGCGTGGCATCGTACACCCGCAACGCTAACCCTGCGAACTATGCGTTTGATATTCAGAAACGCTTCCAGAGTCAGTTGACCGCGTGCGAGAAGAGCCTGGAGGAGGTACAGGCACGGCTGGACAGACTCAAACGGGGCGAAGACTGATGGGCATGAGACGACACGACATGGCATGACATGACATGACATGACAGGATATGCTACTACACAACATGGTATGGACATACAGGACATGACACGACACGACATGAAACGATACGATATGGTATGACATAGTGTGACATATGTCTAGACAGCCAACAAGCAATCGTACTTCGCATTGTATGCGAGTACATGGTTCTACATCAGTACTACGCTGGCCATACGGAGTGGCTTACCCACCGGTGGTCATTAGGCGATACACACCTACACACCCACAGTCAATGAAAAGGTAGCACAAGGCACACTAACACTCCTTAGAGCAGATAACAGCACGTACGAATATAGGACGACACTTTATCCTGATCAAGCGCTACACTCCACACGGTTTTGGACGCTTCTCCCGATAGCCGCAGACGAATGCATACCCATACACACGAAAGGAAGACGGCACCTGGGGAAAGCTGGAGAGTGGCGGAGTGTTGTATTGTCTGTGGCACGTTGATGCACACATACGTCTGTACTGTGAAGGGTTGTGTTGGCTACACTCTTGCAGCATACATTATACGTATACGCCGCCACTCAGCCGCTTTATCTTGAATACAGCCGAGGATGCTCATACTCGTCGCCATCAATGGGCAACACATGGTAGGCATACATGAGATGTCATTACGCACCTCGTCAGCGTCGCCCCACTTCGTATAATATTATGTCAGCGCATACATGCATGCCATTGATATGCACACACAGGCTCGGGTGTGTGTACGCATACGTGCGATTAGGGGTGGCATGGAATGCCGAGATCAGGCTATAGTCCCCATCGATGCAAGAGGCGAGGTGCCGACTCACACCCCTCGAAATGTTCGGTACACTTGCAGGAGTGATGGATGCGTGTCGGGGATTGTCTGGGGGTGTACTCCCATATATAAGCTTGCATCTACCTACTGCCGACTCCAACGGGTGCTGAGGTTAGGCAAGTACACCCTCACAGAGACACACTCGTTGCTGTCACGGGGCGACCACGTGAATCGTCGACGGAGAGACGCCTGGGTTGTGCAGGGGGTTAGCTGGCATATGACTGCAAGCTACAGCGAAGGCACCAACACTAGGCTGAGCGACTCAGTCGCAAGTATAGCACAGAATTACCTACACTCTATGAGGTTATCCCATATTATTATCCGCGGAGGACTCGGAATAAAGACTTCAACTTATCACAGTCGTGTCAGATCCACTTGCGATATCCGAATCCTTGTAGAGTATTCATTCACTATCGCTGGCGATGCCACTAGTAAGCGAGTCGAACCTTGTGTGCGTGTGACAGGTGTACAGGATCAGGGCGGTATAAGCATCTGTATTTTGACAATGTCAAAACAAACCAGTTGAAGTATCGACCGCGGCATGACCATTATGCACTGCTTGCTGAAACTGCGCCTTACATCTGATATACAACGCAAAGCAGATACGTAAACGTTTTGTTTTGAATCTCTTTAATCGGCAGATAGGGAAATAAGTTCAAAAATGGGAGGCCACACGGCCTCGATGTGAGTGTGGTACGAGAGTTTCTTATAAAAATAGAATATTAAATTTCACGTATATATATATATATATATATATATATATATATATAGTAGTATAGTATGTGTGTGTGTGTGTGTGTG